GAGGCGCCGGTCTACAACTACCAAGTTTGTCACAATGCCAGAAAAAGTAGTAAGTGGTTTAAGGAATGACACCTGCCCTTCAGTTTGAATAGGCCATGGTGCAACCCTCTGGCACCCAAGTTGGTGGTGAAGTTCCCATTAATTAATTTCAACAGGAGGGAACGAATGCTCTGTGAGCCAGCGCAGGTGGCAGTGCTTTCCAGCACTGATTGTTCAAGGAGCCTCTGGCCGGTAGGCCAATGGCAGCACTCCTTTCCCTGGGTACTGGAGTGGAACAGTTGCACCTTTTGTTATGACTGTAATAGAGCTTGAACTACCTGAAAGTTTCAGGTCCTGAAAACTGCTCTTGGAATAGGCTAAATTAGGTTAATCACAAGCACCAGTGATTCTGCATTATTCTGTGAACAAGGAAAACTGTTGGCTTGCAGTGACATTTTTTGTTGTTAATTAATCAAAATTTAGACATGCTGAATTGTGTATCGCCACTGACCTCCAGCCTCTCAGCAGCTGCTGAAAGTACTAAGCAATCCATTCACTGCCACAGAATAGCTGCCCTGATAAATCCCAAAACAGAAGATAGTGTTTCTTACCTTTTGTAAGGCTCAACAGGCCGAGCAACACAGCGAGGAATACACAGTGTCTCATTGCCGCTTCTGTTGCTGCTGCTACTTGCTGCTAAACCTAAGAGAAAGTGCTTTTCTCTTCTGGCGTCAGCTCATTTAAGGTCCCAGCCACAGGTAGAGAGTTCAGCCCTGAGCTGACGTCATGGTGGCAAGCGGCAAATGATAGATCCAAGTTGTGGTTTTCTTCCTCCTTAGGCTGGGAGGAGATTTCTGGACCTGCAGTGTTCTTCTTTTAAGTCATAAATGCTTGAGACCTGTTGACACAAAGAAGTTACTGCTAAATAAGCCGATGTGGGAACTGACAGCACACCAGCTATCCCCTGCCAGCTCTCAATACTGACACCTTCAGTGCAAATTAAATGGAGGGTGCTGTATAACCTGTTCTTAAAGTGGAAGAAGCTATCCCATCCCAAGGCATGCTAATTATGCACTTGGAGCAGAGTACCACATGCTCACTTTGTTTGCAATAAATTACCAGTACAGACAAGCTCTATGCCTCAGACTCCAATTGTTCTTTCCTTACAAGCAAAATTTTACGTCGAAGTGCTTCTTACTGCTCAACAGGGTAAAAAGCAACAGACAGCACCTGCATATTTCACATCAAAGAAACAGGACTGATCTTGGCCCTTCTGGCAGCAATTATGGCTGTTTTGTTTGCTGCCATCTTATGTGTGTTACGGGTTCACTAAAGTGGTGTGGCAAGAGAAGGGGGAGCAGGCAGGACAGCCGGCAGGTGTTTGACTTTATCTGGGTGGCAGCCCTCCTTTCTTGAGAGGAAGCATGTTTGTGCTGGGGAGACATTTGGAAACAGGGATGATCAGGCTGGAGCAGGGAGCCCACAGCAGATCTAGAAATGAGAAATAGCCCAGAAGGCCATGGAGCAGGTAACACAGCTGTGACACAGGGAAAATAGGTGTGAGACAGAGACTTTTTGACATTGCATCCCAGGAAGCCTCTGAAATTTGCTAGGTAGAGACCAAGATGAGAAAAAAGGTCTGTGCAGGCAGCATCTGGTTTTCCCAAACCCTCTTATTTTTAGCTGCCTCACCTGCCCGAGTTCTCTAGCTGAACAGTGTGTTTGTTCTGCTTTGTGCTTCAGTAAAATGCACTGCTTGAGACCGTTAGGAATCGGATGGCCCACAGTGGTTTCCAGTTCCTCCTTTTCAGGCAAAGGTATCATTTCTCTCACTTCGAAGGTCTGGGTGACCCTGGATCCTGCCACAACTGCCAGTAAAGTCTTTCTGTGAAATAATCACAGGTTATCCCATCATTATCAGACATGGACAAGAAGGATGAACAACCCATTGGTGTATCTCCCGCAAAGCCACCTCTAATGGCTGTGGAGCTGGTCTCCTCTGGCAAACTCCACTGCCAGCAACACTGGCAGGTTATGAACACCTTTCTAAATGCGAAGTAACAGCTCTGTGTGTTAAACACCTCTCCCCTTCCTTCACCTGCTTTTGTTTGATCTGCTGTTTTAAGAACAAGATATGCAGTCTTGTGTACTAATTTCATATATTCAAAGGGTGGTTCTTCTTGTATGTAGGAGGGTGGGAGAGACCAGAAGTCTCATTGAATGACTCAAGTAATTCTTGAGCTTAGGAAGTCCTAAACTTTTAACTTGCACTGAACCAGGAAACATTGGTGGCTTATGGACAGCAAAAATGGTTGGGTGCCTCTCTGCCGGCATGGGGAACGAGCGGCCTCGTCCCTCTGCACCCTGCCACGCGGACCTGCTCAGGGCGTCGAGCCCAAATGGTGGCGTGTTTTGTCTGCATCTTTCTTTGCTTCTCCGGCCCCGAAGCCCCTCCAGTGCAGCCTGCTTCCTGCACCTACCCTCAGTCCACACAGTGACCCCCTGGCAGCACCTGCCCTGCCCCATGGCAGCCTGGGACTAGCTCACAGCTCCTGAGCGAGCCCCATGGTGGACACCTTGCGTGGTTGCCAGGGTGGCTCTGTGGGATGGGGGAAATCCCAAGCTGTGAGGGGAGTCCAGTACTTGGTTCTCGAGGTACCCCCACCACCAAGGGGTTGCCTGTGAGGGTGGCCAGGGTCAGAGCCAGCTCCGGGGTGGCCTGGGGTGTGCTCAGGGCACCCACAGCCCCCCCTCTCCCTCCGGCTGCCCCTCCAGGCCACGCTGGATCCAGCTCCTGCCCCTGCTGCTGCTCACTCCCATGCCAGTTGCCTATCCCAGCCCATTTGGTTCCTCCAGGCCCCTCCTTAAAACGCCCCTTTGCTGGGGAGCTGACAGAAATAGGGAAGGAAATGCCTGGGAAGCGTTTGGCACCAGAGCACTGTGCTTCCCTGCCCAGGCAGCATCCAACCTCCATCCCAGGCCACCACCGCCCTCCCAGCTTTGCCGCAGGGGGCACCCAAAAACTAACCCTGAAGTCTCATTACAATAAAGCATTTCAGGCTTCAAGCTGAGCAGGCTGTGCTGTGAGCCCCCAAGGAGACCCAACAACCCTGGACACCGGCCATTTGGGGAGCCACAGCATGTGCTTCAGCTGGAAATCAGTGTGCAGAGGGGGATAAACCTGGCTGTGGAGGGTGTTTGGCAGAGCTGTATGCCCCCGGTCCTCTGGTGATGTCCATCTCCCATACCTAGAGTCTTCAGCCATCACGATATGCCCAAATTTTCCAATGCTGCCTCAAGGTGCATAGTTCTCTTGTCTTGATCTTTGTTTATGTCAGGAAAAGGAAGTATCAAAGTTAAAAGGCCTTGTTTATCTATTACAAGGTCCATAATCCTGCACAGCCTCATTATTTGACTGTAAGTTGCATGTAATCAAGGGGCAATCATGCTGCCAGAAGACGTATGTTAAAGTAGGAGCAAGTGTCTTTTATAGCTCTTCACATGCATCAGCTGGATACTTTCTTCCTGTGTATTTTTTCAATCCTATTCCTTACGAGATTCCTATACATTTTGCTATCTCATGTAAATTTGGTTTATCCATTATATATTACATACACAAGTAGAAATATATGTTGTAATTAGCTAAAAGTTAAAAAAACCCTCCAGAAAGTCTAAATCAAAGTGCTATACATATGGATTCACCCATAATCAGGGGAAGCAGATGCACTTTCACTTCTTTTCAGGTGGTTCCCAAGATGGTTGAGGGCACACACTATGGATGCATTCAATGATCTCAGAGGCACTGGTATGCAAATCCGAAGTGAGCAGGACGGTTAAATCACGTGCTTGTCCATAACTGTAAAGGTCTTTTATCTAGTCTCATGGCAATGTTGTGACAAGTATTTTTGCACTGCCGATTTCCTTAAAAGATAATCTGTTACAGTGCCTCAGTTTTATGACCTTAAAAGATACAGTCACACAGAAAATAGAACAACTTGCAATTGATAATAAAACTGAGGCACTGTAACAGTTCTTCTTTTGCAAATGAACAGAACATCAGGATTTAATCGGGTTACTCTCTCCTTTATTTTCAGGATGTAGCAAGAAGTATGTTCTAGACTCACCATTTCTCTGTGAGTGGCACTCAATTCATCTAGGGCAGCTGCCTAGTGTGGCATCTTGTGACACTACTGTCAAGGGTGAGGGATATCTTACTTATGGGGTGAGCTACTCTCTGCAGACGTTGGTCTCTTTTCATAGCTACTGGAGGAGCCAGATGGTGGGTTCAAACTGGCCACCTAACTTTTGGTAGAGCAGATGAATCCCACCTCAGTCCCATCTTATTGCTATCGCAGTTGAGTGTGGTACTCCTCCGGAGCAATATAGGAAAATATTGTCCCAGATGAACATACCTGCCATTACTCCAGATGCTCTTCCACATCATGCCTCTTCCCAGCAGCCTGGGCTGGATGTTGTGTTCATCCGGATTCAAGGCACCCTCCTTCTTCCCCTGAGAGACACTCAGCTGTATATTCTTCACAGTCCCCGGTGGCACTTATTGAGGTAGGACCGATCTCACTGTGGTCAGGTCCAGTCCCTTGCCCTTGCAAACAGCCCTGCTGCACCAACCTCTCCTGAGGTTTTCCTCGCCTCCAACATGCACTCACACACGCAAACACAAAACTTCACCAATTCTCTTGCATTTCCAGCAGGATGAAAAATTAAATTGAAGAAAACTTTAAAATTAAACTTTGAGTTGCTTAATGCTACTGAAATAAACAACAGAACAGAACTTCTATTTCAGCTGAGCAGAAGTTTGTTTAGCACAACTAACCACATACCCATTTCCTCTTTGCTTTTCATTTTAGTTATTCAATCACCAAGCACCACCAGAAGAATAAAAGAACTATAAAATTTCTTATTTTATAGATTAGATTTCTAATTATTATTAAAACAATCTAAAATTGCATATGCATCTCTCTACAGGAAAAGCTAAAGACAATAAAAAAGCTGAGACATAGTAATATTCATAGTTTTATTGTATCCTTTTGTAATACTGACTAGAACGCCAGATTTAATAATATTGGATGCAGGTATAAAAATAATCCAATCCTTAAAAATTATATTTTGCTACTACAGTACTGTATAATTAGTGGAGGCTGAAAATATGATACAACTTTAAATAATACTGGTTTGGAAAATGTCCTCAGAACCCCAGCGACTTGGAAGCAAACATTCAGAGATACAGGGAAGGAAACCGGGCAATGTCAAGAACATAAAGCAGATTTACATTCAGGTTGATAACAGAAGCAGAAACAAATGCTGAAAATTTACCTATTGAAATAGAGCTCACAACAGGTGAGCTTTACTACTGCAATTCTGAAAGCTGCTCAAATAAACCATTATGATTTTACACACAAAGTTTGACCTTCTGTTAGGAGAAAGTCCTGTAGAACTTAACAGGGCTTAAAACAAATGACTGAGTTTAACAAAATTTCCTTTAAAAAAGGAAACTATTAAATATTTATTCTGTTGGTTTGTTGTTTTGGTTTTTTTTTTCTTTAAAGTAAACCCATCCTAGCAGATTTCATTGGAGACCTTTTACGTCAGGCAAATTCTATGGCATTGTTCAGGAGAAGTGATCAGTTTTTACTGTATTCCACAGGACTTTTCCATGTAGCATTTTGCAGATCTGGGGGCTGCCTGCTGCGGTCATTAACCTGAGCATTTTGCAGATCTGGGGGCTGCCTGCTGCGGTCATTAACCTGAGCAAGACTCCCATCCCTTCTAGCATTTTACCAGAATAAAGACCAGGGAACTTAGCATACTACTTTTGAGGAACATCAGGCACCCTCTCTAGGTTTTCCGTCAACAAGGATATGACACTCATGCAACACAAACTAGACACAGAAGAGGTGTCATCCCACATATGACTTTACAGTACAGAAGCCACACTCGCTTTAGATGTTTACTTCTGCAAAACAAGTAAGCATATTTCTTTTTTTTTTTTTAATTTCTTACCCCTTCATGGATTTCTGTCCTGCTTTTCAATTTCAGCAGTTCAAGGGAACAAAGAATTAAATACACATTGCAAAGCTCCCAAAATCTTACAAGCACACAGTGCATACCCCTTTCAAAACTGGGAGATCTTGCTTCATTTCTGAAGGGACAAATAAGAGTGAACTGACGAGTAGTTCTTATCTGCGACTGCAGAAAGCACCTCTACGTCCCTAGAAGATCTTACACGATAGGAAACAGGTTGGTTGATCAGTAAAACAACTTCACAAAATTCACATTCATTCTCTTCTCAGGAAAGTGTTTCAGATCTTGAACCTGTTTTGTTCAATCTCACATAATACAGGTCCTGCTACAGTAATAAGTATACTTTTAAAAAATAAATACAACATGGAAAGGCAGTAACAGTATCACAGAAATAGGCAGAACACAGAGCCACAGGAAAGCATGTACTACACACAGGTGACCCTGGTGGTGGAATAATCCAGGCCTAAAAAAAACTTCATTACTGTCCATGGGAGAGTTAGCCCGGTCACTACAATGGATGCTGGATTAGGTCCTTTGTGTGTAAAGAGGAAAAAACATTAGCCAGCATAGGAAGAGCATTTAAGTAAAATGCATCCGCTCTTGTTAATTTAAGGAAGAAAACTAAAGATTAAACATCACTATGAGGGAATGAGAAGTCCAGCTGGATTTGGAACAGACATGGCCATTGACCAGCATTAGAGACAAGTGGGAAGCACTTGGCATGTCCGCGGCATTGTCCAAACCCGCTCTGCTGCTCACTCAGGTCCCGGCAGAAAACCTTTACAAGTATTGGTACAAACAATTTCGCAATGACAAACACCTCTCTCTAACTGTCATTAATTGCTATTTTTTAAAGCCTTTTACTACCACTCAGTGTGGAGGCAAATATCTTTCAGAAGGCTGGTCACAAGGGGTGACTCAGTACCTGACCGTGACAGTGGGATTTATGGAAAATGCTGCAACAGCAATGAGATTCATTGCTGCTGCGTTACCTAATGCTTTAAATGTGGAGGGCAAAGGGCATCAAAATGCCCCTGTCCTGTTTTTTCCTCATATAGCCCAATTCAGTGCTGTGAGGTTTCAACAGTATGCAAAAGGTCCCTGATTTTTCCAGTGCAGCTGGAAGGGCTGGCCAGGGCGAGCAGCGGTGCATGGCAGGGACACAGGAAGGCTGCGCATATGAGCCTCCCTTTTGAATGATCCCTCAAATCTGCGTTTTGCTGCTCTGTTCACTGGGGCTGCCTCTCCTAGGCTGGCTGCTGGGGGTATTTCTGTGGGTGAGGGGCTTTTGTCAGCACAATTGGCAGAGCACCATAGCAGCAAATGTGTGCCTCCCACATAGTTTCCTGTCAAGCAACAGAATTAGCATTTTTTCCAAAGTTAATAGAAAATACACCCACACAACTGCCCATGGGCCCTTGCTGACTGCTCCCCCAGCTTTCCACAGCAGCCAGGAGCAAGAGCAGGTTTCTGTGCAGTGTTGGTGTAGTTTTTCTTCCTTTCCCCACATCTGGCTGAACCACTTGCGTCCTCCTTACAAGAAACATGCCAATTCTATCTTATCCTCTTGGACAGTAGAGAGCAATTCCCCTTGGCAAAAACATCCAGTGTGGTCAAAATTTGCAATTTGGGGTAGCTAAAAGTAAACTAAATAGTCTGAGAAATAAGCTGCATTAATTTAGACATCCTACGGGGAGTTAGGTACTGAAAAGAGAGGCATCCACATTTGAAAGTGGGCTTGAGGGCATGTGAAGACCCCTCTCACATCCGACAGGAGCGACAAACCCCACTCCACTGCCAGAGAGTGCTTAGTTTATGGCAGAGATGGAAGCAGACAGAGAGGATCCTGGTGGCACCTTTAACAGAGGTAAGCTGCACAGAAACAGGTCACATCCCTGCTGTGGCCAGGCAAGCCCATTGCTGCTGGGATGTGGTAGTAAATAATTGCAATAAAATAACTGTCATAAATTGTGGCAAAACACACTGCACTGCACCCACCCCTTCTGCCCTAGTGGAACTGGGAGCCAGTGGGGCTTGGGTGAAGACAGAAGCATCGCAGCACGGGGAATGGCTGGGCTGGTGGAGACCCAGGGGCTGAATTGCCCTGGGTTGCATCTGCTGGTGCCGCAAAGACTCCCGGGATCGATCACCACACGGGAAAGCACCTGCACTCACCCCGGTGCTGACACCTGCCTAAATCCTCTTCTGCCTGCCGAGCGAGGCCTCCTAGGACACCCAGAGAAGGTGCTGCAGGTCAGGAGAGACCCTTTTTCCTCCTCCTGTGGACTATGCGTTGGCTCCATGACTCCCTTCTTACCAAAGCTAAAAGGAAGGTCAGGCTGCAATGGATACATTCTCATAAGAAATTTCCCAATGTTTACCTGCTCTGGCAGAGAGAAAATTTCAGTGCAATAAAGTTCTCTCTTTTGGAAAAGGCCAAGTTTTACAGTCCTCCCTCAGGAGACCCTGCTGGGTTTACTGAGACCCTTTCACTCCAGGTACAGCATTAAGAAGAATTTGAAGATCATTAAGAACTGAAAATTAATTACTTGCAAACTTTTGTGTGATCTCAGTTAGGAACAGTCCTATCTCATTTCCACTCAAATCCCCTGCAATTTGCTATGAGATATAGACCAGGAGTTTTGTTCATATAATCCATGTTACTCTTTATATAGAAGGATTGATCTGCAATTGTGAGTTGATATTTCCTACTTTGTCCTTTGTAATTGGCACACACAGGAACATTTCCCAGTCTTTGAACTAACCAAGCAATTAAACATATTTGCCTATAAGCATGTGCCTAAACTCTTCCCGATCTGATGAAATGCTGGCATGTGGTTAAATCCTACCATCATTGCTGGGACACTAGTAAATAGGGGCAGAGCCCAGTGCTCGTCTATACGCTTTGGATTTAGATTTAGCATGAATCCCAGCTTCCCCCTTTCTTTTGTAACACAAACAAAACCCTCCTCCATACCATGGGAAAGGCAGTCCTTTCTGTCCTAGGCACTCTCAAAACCAGAGGCAACTCACCCGCACAGAAACGACCCTGCCAATGTCCTCTTTGAAGGATCCCACAGCAAAGCAGAGTCAAGCCCTTAGTTCACATCATCCAGTGGATCCTGTGTAATTAAGATATTGGCTGCTAACGAAAGGGAGAAGAACATCATTCATGGACTAGAAACACTGATCAATGTGGCAGGGAACAGCTAGTTCCTGTGCTTTACCTGTTACACTATTTTGGATACTGTAACTAGAGTTTCCCTTAAATATAGCTCCTTAGGCAGCTGTACTTCCCAGGCAGACATGAAGTTGCATGCATCGTCACCATAGGATCATGTAAGTGCAAAGCATACTGCCCTAGGCATCCATAAAGTTCTGTTTTTCTGCAAGCCCACACTGCTGTTTCTACATAGTAGATGAGGGGTGAGGCATAAAAAGACACTGCGTTCGTGTGCTACAGCTGGTTCACCAAACTATGTGTTCTCAAGTACATTTGTGGTGCCTTTCCTGCCTTGCAGTTTTGAGAAAATAGAAGTAAATGTGAGCAGGGACCAGAAACCTCTTAGCCCATGCAGCTGACTGCCTAGTGCTAGCTCCCCTTCCTCTGGGTAGCTGTTGCTCACTTTTGATACGGAATACAACAGCCTTCAAAGTGCTCGGAAAGGATCTAGGGACTCACAGCATCTATAGGACGCAAGTACTGCTACCTGTTCCCTGATGGAGGGCTCCTCGTCACTCCAGGTTTGCCTCCGGTGAGCAACTACACAACACATCAGCATCTGCACTGCAGTTCTCACCTGGGGTTAGGCACTTTGGGGGATGCATCCCATGGTCTTTAGTGCTTCAGTGAGCCGAGCTACCTTATGAACTTACTTGTAGGCACTGTGTCTTTTCGAGCACTGCAGGGGAGAAGGGAATATCTGAGGGTATGTGTCCTTCAGTGAAACTAGTTTATGTATGCACTACAGAGATGGTGGGTTAATGGCTAAGGAATTGTGCTGTTTGTTATCCTCATACAAGCAGTCACCTTGAATTAAGAGCACAGTCACATTCAGGGGAAGGATCCGTATCTGGACCCTGTATCTGGACAGGGTTTGGATAACTCACGTTAAGACTGAAGTAAAGATAAGCGGTAAATATACTTCATTAATAAGATCTCTTTCAACACCCAGCTCAGGTCAGACTACAGTCCATGAGCTTTCAATTTGATCTTTGGTGAGAAATGTAATAACTTACATTCTTCAGCTTTTGCTGAAGTGATTAATATGAAGTAACACACCTAGGTGAGGAAACCTGCCTGGTCTGAATCACTTGAAACTAGGATGGAGGAAAGCAAAACACTTCAACGTAAGTGATCTTTGTTCCGCTGGGATTGAAAGCATCATGGTTTTCTCTCCCTTAAATGCAACTTACTGCAGTGAGCCTTATTTTCCAATGTACTGAAAGCCTCCACAGCTCCTACTGAAGTCAAGGTGGGCTGTGGAGGCTTGAAAGCTATGTCCCACCTGCAGTGCCCAGAATTCACGTTCCACCTGCCCAGCCAGGGCTATAGCATTATTGCTCCTTCCCAGATTCCTTGTAAAAAGCATGCTGAATTCCCAGCTCATGTTCTTCCCTGTGAGCAACTATTTAACATTATATTACTGTTTCTACTGCAGGGAAACAGAGCCCTGTAAGATCCTATATGGAAGCACTATGATGACATGGAGTGGCATCACTTCTGAACGATGCTGGTTGACAACACAACATACTCGGACTCTTCCCTATATACAGGAAGTTTTCAAAGCGGCGCATAGGATCAACTGTGTCTTTTTTTCAGTTAGAATTGCAGTGGCATGACTAGCTTTCCCATACTCCTTGGAGACGATCAACCCATAAATTCAGCCAACGTTGCCAGGTACCAGGCTTCAGCAAGGACCCAGCCATCTGAAGAACTTCTACCAGTAAGAAGGTGAGGGTCAGAGGACCAGCCAGCTTCCCTGTCACGTACGAAGCAGAAAGCAATGCAGCAATGGAAAAGGAAGTGGGCAAACTTGCGCTACCAAAAGGAGTGGCACAGTGAATCTTTGCAGGAAGGTTAGCTAAGAAGCACAGTCAACCGTGAACAAGATCTGTAAACAAAACACTTCCTAGTGGTATTCAATGCAGAGTGCTGGGCACAGTTCATCTGCCTCTACTGATCCATGCCTGCCATGTAGCGCAAAGAGTGAAGAAGCAGCACAGAACAAATCCAGAGTACATGTGTTAACTTCTGTCTGGGTCTTCTAGTGATGTGCACCTTGAGCTGTTCACTCCTCCTCCTCCTTCTCTCTGCTGCTCAGCAAGTGTAACTGTTCCTCAGGGCAGCAACGCTCAGCGTGGAGTTCAAAGGCCTTCCTGTTAAATGGGAAGAGTAAGACTGATGTGGGCTGAACTGCCCAGGTGACAGATTGTACCTGGGGATTAGGGACCACAAAACTGTGTCAATCTTGCACTCCCTCTCCACTCCCTGCTAAAAATAGTCTCTTCTTCTGGTTTCGTCACTAATGAAGGATGGATTGTATTGTCCAGGGTAGATGCATGAATGTCGAGATCCAGGCAAACCAGTGTAGGGAGGATAAAGTCCGTTTCTTTCCAGTTCAGGATTTCTCAGTCCAGTTGGCTGTATTAGCAAAAAAAATAAATAAAAAGGGTCTTATTCTCACACTCAAATCCTCCTTCAGGCACAGCCTTACCACCCTTCCCAGCAGTTATTTCAGCACCTAGAAGGTACAACGTGATTGCTAATGATCTCTATAACCTGGAATGATTTTTACTGTGGGCGTTATGCATTGCCTGAGGGGATTATTCCGATGCAATCTAGTTTCCACACCTTGCCAATTAGCAGACTTGAAGTTTACCTGACTCCACCAAGTGCAGTCTAAGTGCACAGTTAATTTTTAAACCAAGAGAATTGTGCTGATGAGCTCAGGCATTGAAACAACTCTCGTGAAAAGGAGGTTGTCCCAGAACCACCCTTAAAGGAAACGCTTCTAGAAAATTGAAGTTAGTCTCCTCCTTTGAGTATTACCTGGGAGCGCTTCTCTGCCCATTAACCATAGGTACCTACTCTCCCAACACAGGCACTTGAATTATATGTGATATAATACATACATATATAAAATACAAAGTGATCTGACCTTCCTTTCTCTTCCCTTCTGTTACTTAAGTAAATCTCCTGAGGACACTTCGTTGAGGAACTTTGATGGTCTTACCAAGACTGTACAATCCTTTCACCCAGTAAATAACATCAAGCCAGCTGGTTTGATTTGTTACAGAGCAGATCCATGCAAAGCCCTCATTACCTACTCCTTGCTAAAAAGCTCCCCTTTCTAGTCGCCAGCATAATAAAAGTCTTTAAAAATGTTTAGGAAATGCATTTTCATTTCCAAATCTCCTTCTTACTGGAAGCAGGAAGGAGGTTTATTCCCCTTCATGCTGTGCAACCCAGTAAACTTGCTTACTGGAAAACTTAAAATACAAGCCAGAAAAGAAATATTGCTCACTGTTCTCGGCTCTGGAAAGTAGGAGTCCAGAATACGTGATTTGGGTGAAATCCTGCAACCTTCACTCACGTGAGTAACCCCCACACACCTTAAGTACATCCAGTGTGTTCCTGTAGATTAGTGACAGATGATACACCAGCATCACAGCTCCGGATACAGACATTAGCAGATGGTACCAACCATGACAGCAGGTCTTGTGCTTGTGTCTTTCTCTGCCCTTCACAGCCCATTACTCCTCTACCACTTCCTCCCTACCACTTGTTCCCCCAGAGCTGGAGGGCTGCTCCTTATGCACCCTTCCTGCTGCAGGAAAGGGCCTGTACCTGGAGAGTGGGAGGAGTGGAAGAAAAGAGGGGTCCTCAGTGACCAGCATCTTCCCATCTTGCGGTGAAGTTCCCCAGGCAGAGGTCTCAACCTTCCAGCATCATCAGTGAGGGTGGAAGGGAGAAAACTACCCACAGGAATTCCTAGCAGCCTGTCCAAAACCTTTAACCTTCCTTCTCTACTCTAGGATTGGGCTTTTTAGGCATCTACCAAAATGTTCCTAGACATTTCCCTAGCACTCTTCCTAATGACAACTC